TTCTTTCTTTCTTTCTCTCCTTCCTCCCTTCCCTTTTTTTCTTTCATTCTTCTTCCTTCCTTCTCTCCTCTTTCCTTCCTTCCCCAACCTTTTTCTTTCTCTCCTTTCTTCCTTTTCTACCTATTCTTGGACTAGAACTCCCAGCAGTCCTCCTGATTGATCTATATCTACCTACCTATTTATCCCTATCTAATCTATATATCATCTGTCTGGAGAATTGCTAGGAGTTTCAGTCCAGGAATAGGAAATTGGAAATATGGAGGGATTGGGATGCTCTCAAAGAAATCCAAGGAGAAGAAAGCTTGCATCTTGGAAGCAGTGCATTTGGAGCATCCTCATCTCCTAAAGGGCCTGGTCTAGGGGATGCTGGGAGCTGTAATCTGGAAGACAGTGAGGATATGTTATTGTGTGTTTTGTTTGCTGGGGAAGTCGTTTTTGCACATGCGCTGTAGCATCTTTTTGCTTTTTTGGCTTTTTCAGTCCCTTCCGTTGTGTTTTTCAGTGTTTTTGTGAGTGATGGTCACTTGTTGACCTGATAGGTGTCTTGTGTCAAAATTTGGTGCCAGTTCGTCCAGTGGTTTTTGAGTTATGTTAATCCCACAAACGAACATTACATTTTTATTTATATAGACTAGCTGTACCCGGCCATGCGTTGCTGTGGCGCATTGTGGAGAAATGGGAAAGAAAGAAAAGAGGAAAACCTGGTTTCTATGCTATCAATACACAACTGAAGTGGCACAGTGTCAACCTAATATAGGTCCATTTCAGTCTCCTTGAGGCCAAAGGGTTCTATGGATGTGTGGAAGAGCCCTGGGTTACCTGAGTCCACACTGCCATATAACCCAATTCAAAGATATTATATAGGTATTATTATAATTATTTAGACGTATGGATATTATTATAGACATATGGATATTATTATAATAGACCTATATATATTATTATTACAGACATAGATATTATTATTAAAGACTGATAGATATTATTATGATAGATATATAGATATTATTATTGTAGATA